AGGCCGGCCTACCGTCCAATTCGAGCGCGTGGCAAGATGTGACCGCCCGGCGATCGATATTGCTATGCGCACATCTCGCCACGCGCTCGAATTGGGCGGTAGGCCGGCCTAAGACAACGATTTTTCATAATTAATTACTCGTTAACTATTACGAAAATTGCAAAATGGTACAGGACTTTTCTATTCATCTCGATCCGTTCTACCTTTTCAAAAATTTTGTCGGATATGGAAAGACTCACCCTGTATATTACTGTAATACCGGAAATTAATACGGGGCCGTTTTTCTCTGCTAATCCTGTTTCCCGCAGCTACGAGTCAATTTCAACGGTGAATTTTTCATTTCTCTGGCGTCTACCCGCGGAAATAAACTCGCGTCGCTAGATTGTCTTGGCGTAATTGCCATTTGACGCTCCAATTCGCGCGACGGGACCGCAGCCGCCTCGGCGTGGCGGCGGGCGATTATCTCGGAAACGGCGCTAATGCCGCGCAACGAGGAGCCCCGCGCGTGGGCGTTGGTAATCTTCATTAACCGCGGCAGAAAGAAACGCGGTAATTAATGTCGCGAGATAACTCGAAATAATTTACGCGTCGCGGCCAAGCGGGCGTCGAGCCGCTAAACGGCCACTCTTTCGCGGCGGCGAAGGGCGCTCTCTGCGCCCTCGCGCGTCCGCGCCACCCCCGGGCGAGCGATTTAATCGTTGGTCGGTGAACCGCGATTCGCGAGAGAAATTCGCAAGCGTGCATTCCCGAAAGCTCCGCTTCCCGCCTTTTGTTTCCGCGCACTCTTTCGCGTTATCGGGACGGGGTGGGGTAGGATTAGTTTTACGGGCGTACACCCGCGAGGGTGAAAGGCACGGGGCAACGAAATGAGCTGAAATATCGCGTTACCCGCGGAAGGCGCCGGGTATCAAAGTAAGGTATAATTACTTGGCCACAAATGCATTTCGCGTTTCATTCAGCGCCACGTATGACGGTGGCCCGCGCGCGGGGCCTGCAATTCGCGGTACGTGTTGCCAGCCAGGGGTTTTGGTGTTCGCGATGGTGCGTCGCGACGCGACTCTGCCGCGTGAAATTCATTTAATACCCTTGTAACCCGCGACGTACTTCGAACGTGTGTTTATCGCGATGCGTTCGCGCGCAATTCGCCGCCTCGGGACATCCATACGTTTCGTCGGGTGGTCCAAATTATCGCACATTTTCATATCCCTACGCTCTCGCGTCGTCTCGTATTCCAGAGTGAATAGGGTCTATTCGGATTCTGTGGGCGAGTGAAATGTCGCGGCGAATTCATGCGTATGACGGTCGAGCGATTTTTCAAGCCCGAGGATCGTCCCCCGACGCGTTGTCGCGGTTCCGGCCTCTCATTTACGAAAATTGTCCGGATCTCCGACGGATTTCCGATCCGATGAGCGGACCCTCCCCTCTTTGCGGACCTCTTTCGCCGTCGCTCTGCCACGCTCACACGTGGGGGAAGCTGTTTAATATTTACGAAGGATTTGAAATTTACAAAAGATTTAAAATTTACAAAAGGAGCGACAAGTTGTCCACGAGAACGCTCATACGAACGGCAGAAGCGCCCGACCGTTTCACGTTAATATTCTCGTCAAATAGGAAAGTTAAATATCAGGGGGGGAAAAAAAAATTTCTCCTCCAAGCTCGCGAGGCAAGCCTGGGCAGCGCCGGCGAAACCTTTTTGCGTCTGAACACCGTTTGATCCAATTAAGCTTTCCCCATCGTGCGCAACGAGGTACAGAAGCGGCAAAAATGACGGACTGAAAAAAGGGGAGAGAAATCGCGACACGTTCGGCGTCGGCGAACGATCCTCCGTGCGTCTCGCACGTACGTAATGGACGTCGCTAATTGACTCGGATTCTACAGGGAGAAGTCAGCCGGATACCATTGTCTCCTCTCTGTAGAATGCGATCCAATTGACGATTCGGGTGCGAGAATCAAGCAAGCCCGTCTCCCTCGCGGCGAATAAATTTTAACAAACGCAGTTTATTGCTTGCTGCGCAAATCCGAACGAGTCTCGTTCGCGCTAGCTTCTACCCAAAACTGTGAACAATCTATGGCTAGATGTAGAGCATTTTTATCAATTAAAAAATATCGCGAAAATGGCAGAGTTAAATTTCAGTTAGAATTATACTCCGAATATGTTAACGATGTATATAGGTACAATACGAAAGCCATTCAATGGCTGAAGATTAAGACCCGGTTTCACGTTGTTTAACTTTAATCTTACAATTAGCTTAATTCATTCTGTCTCTTTCTGCACCTAGAAAAAAGTTTCTTTAAAGTCAAACAAATTTTCTTTGAATTTTAACCTTACCGGACTTTTCTTTAATTTCAAGGAAATGCTTTCTTTACCTTAACCAAAACTTTGTTTGATTAGGACTGAAAGTTTTCAGAAAATTCATACCCATTTCTTCAAATCTAGCAAATGTTTTAGCAGAAGTGAGTAAAAATGTAGTAGATTCGAAGAAACGCGATTTCAGCATATCTCCTATGTTTAACCTAAATAAATCTTTTTTTCTGGGTGCAACTGTTACTTCAGAAAGAGAACAAACGTGAGCTGAACTAAGATTGAAGTTAAGCGGCGTTTGGCGAAACCGGACCCTAAGAGAAACGTGCTGAACGTTGCTAAAAACTATCCTGGCGACGGTCGAAAGAGAGCGGGCTTGTCCGATTCTGCACTTTCATGCTGTCGACTGCTAAAACGCATGTCCGAGCGACGCGAGGGGGGTGTGGCGTATGTTATGAAGTTACACGTACATAACACCGATAGAAGGAAGTAAAAAAAAAGAACTGAGGGAGATGAAAGAGAGAAGAATAGGCAGACTCACCCAGCGCCGGCGTCGTGTAGTCCCAGCTCTCGGCGTCGTTCTTGTAGACGTTGAGCTTTGTCGGCTGGAAAAGATAACAGACAACGGGATTTAAATACGGCTTCGAATATCACAGAGATTCGACGCGCGATTTGTTTTTGTTTTGCACGTCGGAGAGAAATGTGCCTCGATTGGAAAGCTGCGAACGTAAAAAAAAAGAAGGAAGACAGGGATGAAAAAATAAATTAAATGCTGTTGCTAACTCGATTTCGCTGCATGGAGCTGGTATTTCCTTTCGGAAGTTTTCGATCATAGTAATCAGTCCGCGAGAATTTTACTTGCAAACAGTGTCCCGCTGGAAAAAGCTACATGCAGGACGGTGTTGTTATTGAAAGTTTCATATCGAGTTTCCATTGAATGAGCAAGTTATCCATAACTCAATATCGCAATTTTCGAAGGTACTGTGTAGCGTATCACGTCCCCTTCGATTACAGCAACGAATAATCCGCGCTTGTTCTCAGTCGCCTAATGAATACTTCGGCGAATCTCTCGGGCATGCAAGACTAATTCGATTAGCTTAAGCGACGCGAATCCCCAGGTGTTAAATAGAGCTGCTGTCTCTCTCTCTCTCTCTCTCTCTCTCTCTCTCTCTCTCTCTCTCTCTCTCTCTCTCTCTCTCTCTCTCTCTCTCTCTCTCCGCAGAGTGTCCGATGATTCGCCGTTAAATTCGCACAACTTCCCGAACCTGTACGAGCGTAAACGATCGATCGTTTCGCCCTCTCTCTCTCTCTTTTTCGTTGTCAAAAAAAAAATTCGCAATACGCTCGAGTGTATCGTAATACCGATATGTGCATACGCGCGACTACGAGGAGCGCTTCTGGGGCGCTTTCCACGGCCGTAAAAACGTCACGCTTCAGGCTGAATAACCGCCACGGTATATCTCGCCGTCGTCTACCGTGATAATTCCGCGGGTAAAACCCAGGCAGGGAAAGTAAAGCGGCGCGGACAGGAGAGATACGGCGCGGATCCAGCTTAGCTGCGTTTACCAACCGCGCCGAGCGGAAAAAGTTAACGCCCGGCCTGCAATAAGTCGTCGCATTCCACCTCATTCGCAGCCGGGCGCGGCGAACTTGGGACTCCGCGCACTTGGGGGACAGGGCTTTGCAATTACATTTCTTGCCATTATGACCATATAAAGTTACACACGGTGACTTCGAACGATAACTTCGGAGCGTTACCTCGAGGATGGCTTTATAGGTCACGTCAAGGAAATATATCCTCGTCCCTCCGCGCTCTCTCAGTAAATTTGTTTTCTTATTTCTAACCGCGTTCTGCGGCTTGCGTCGATTTTTCTCGCGGGTATCCGGAACGCGAGATGAAACGCGCGGAGCGAATGAAGGGGGACATAATTTCTAAGGGCGTCTGATTTGGCGCGATAAAAAGATCGAAGGGGCGAGATTGGTTCTAATGAAAGCACTTGCTCCGACGATGTTTTTTTTTTTAGAAAAACGAAAATACACCGCTTCACCGCGCGAAAATCGTTACCTGGATTTCACTCGGGTGTCGCCTTTCCCATGCAAAAATACCAAGTGTAATGTAATTATGCGCCTCGCTTTATCTCAATACTTTTCAACACGACTTTCTTCTTATGAAAATTTAGGACAGTCGGGAGGAATCAGTGCCAAGACACACGGAGCGGAAAACCGAGAGAAGAGACGGTCGAGCGCGCGGTCGAAAGTCCGCTCGCTCGCGGTGACCGAGAAGCTAGACCTTTGTTACAAGAATTTACTCCGTAAAAGATCAAGGAAAGAGAGAACCAAACGACGTCGTCCTCGTGCAATTGCACTGGGTCGAGAACGATGCGCGATTCTGCTCGAGTTAATCACGTTTAAGCGAGCTAAATGTGCGAACACATTCGTCGCGGGGAACGCACGCTAACAATAGCCGGGCCTGTTGTCCGAGGGACGTTAAGTAACTACTCCATTTTTGTCATGGCTCGCTTTTATCAAGAGAGATGGAGGCTGCGAGGGCAAGACCTCGGGTTTCTAAGAGCGCAAATCGCTCTTTCTCCAACGTCACCGACGGAATTACGCGGATAGTTTTATATCTCGCAAAATATTTTCCCGCAGCGAACTCTCGGGCATCGGGACTTCTCGAATATTAAACCTACCGGTTCTCCTGTCACATAATCGAGACCAATTCTCGCGCGTATTTTTACATTTTTAACGACAGCAATTCGCGGCCTGGAAACCGTACCAATTATTTCAATACAATTACGGCTAAATATATAATTCTACTTATGAAAAAAAAATTTAGGTACCTCTCCTCTCCGTTCTCACTCTTATTATTCTGTAAAATTCTCTCCCCAGAATAAATACTACTTTGAATAATTTCATTGTACGCCGCGGAAGATATCCCTGTTTCTCGTATTACAGCGAGTTCTATTTCCGTGCAATCGATCGGCTCATTGCACGTGTAATTTCTGGGCAATCTTGGCGCAATTTACAGGGAGTTACACGTGCGCTCCACTCTCAGAGTTAGACCGCGTATATAGCGCGCGCGGCGGCTCTCTGGGAGGCCAATGATTTTTCCGAAGAGTTAACCGCCGAGGTCATTGTGGTGTACAGATTTCCAGCATTTCTGGGCACTTTTTGGGGGCATTAGACCATTTTGGTGCATTATAAGGATAAAATAAGATACAATAAACAATAAAATTCATAAGGCTCTGATGTAAAATCACAATTCAAAGGAAGAAAGGATATAAGAGCCAAGACAAAATGTTAGTGCATATATCTTCAATTTAATATGAGGGGTGAACCGCCGAGGGCATTGTGGTGTACACATTTCCGGCATTACTGGGCATTTTTTGGGGGCGTTAGACCTTGCTGGGGCATTATAAAGATAAAATAGGACAAAATAAGATAATAAGATTAAGTAACTGCACTGAAAAAAATTTCTGGTTGAATATGGACGAATCAGATAATTCCTTTAGGATTTACCAGAATTCCTTTAGGATTTACCAGAATTCCTGTAATCCTACAGAAATTCTGGTAAATCCTAAAGGAATTCTGGTAAATCCTAAAGGAATTATCTGATTCGTCCATATTCAACCAGAAATTTTTTTCAGTGTGGGCATTAGTGGGCATTGGGTGCACAAGATTTTGGTCAG